GCTCCTGAAAGAGACTGAACCTCGCCGGCCAAGGTAGAAGGAACGGCCCTCTTGGCTCGGTGCGAACGCCATGCTAGAGGGGATACCCTGGCCCTGGAACCCGAGGCAAGCACCCGATCTGCGACGTGCACCTGCCAGGCCAGCTGGACCCTGTCGGCATCGTTGGTGGCGAAGCCGCCGGCGTCGGAAGAAGTGACAAAGATAATGTCGTCTGGCCTGAACTTCCAGAGAGTGATGGGGATAGCTGCTGTCTGTCGAAGATGATCGACCATCTTGTTAGCGACCAACGCGTCCCCCACGGAGGGATTCTCTACCCTGGAAGCTAAAAAAGACGCCGTACCACATGCTTCTGCCCGAGTTTCCCTGCCGACCCAGTTGAGCTGGTAGATGAGCGACCTGAACTCCGTCTTCTCACGGCCCACCAGGGGCTGATCATGCCGACCTCGTCGGTCCCGGCATATGCGAAGGCGATGTAGATTTTCTAATATATACTTCTGCTGGTCGACTAGGATACGATCGTGTAGGCGTCGAACTCGACGTCCGATATACTCCACTCCTTCCGAATCTACTGTCCCAAGCTTCCAGAAAACAAACCTGTCGGTAAAGGCCTTAATCTGGCCATCTCGGACGCTATCAGCTAAGCCAATGGCCCAGTCATCAACCTCGATCAAAACCATGGCGTCCGGCTCCTTAGGGCCACGGCGGACCATCCAGCACGGCTCAAGCTTGGATCTGACATACCCTAGCGACTCGAAGAATCGAACAGTTGTGCGATGAAGGGCGAGAGGCGCGTCGCCCAGTCCGTAGACGGGAGCGACCAGCTCAATAAGACTTCCCGCCTCGATGTCCAACCCCTCACACGGTTCGACGAACACCCGACCGCGACTCCTCCGTAGAGGATCGGACTGGCAAAACGCGTTCTTCAAATCCCCTATCGTTAGCGACATGCCTAAAGCCAGGGCCGCCGTGAGAAACAACATTAAAGACTCCATCTGAGGCGTAGGGGAGTACACCCTCAATTCATGAGCATCCTCGTCTTCGTGGCCTCGGACGCACCACCGGCTCTTAGCCAGCGGCTTGCTGTAACACCCTTCCTGGGGTTTCCACCTACGGACCATACGAGACGACACGACACGACTGGGAAACAGAGCCCTGAGACGCCCCCCCTCCGCCGGAGGGTGGACATGCACGGCCCCGGTCCCCGAGACGCTCGGCCACTCCTTGGCATCGGACTCTCGAAAGGCCTTTCTCCCTTCCAGGTCGAGCTTGGACATCGAGACCTCACCCCCCCTGGAAGTGGCAAGGGCGATGGGCCCCCTCGGAGGGAGATCCGGGCCCCCCCGGAATGAGCTCGACATCGGCGTTACCGTTCACGAAGTGCGTCCAGTCTCCCGACCAGCCTTGTTCGACTAAGCCCTCCGAAAGTGAGGTAAAGTACTGCTCCGACTGTTCTGGCGAGAGTGAAAGGAGAACTGCGGCGGTGTCTGTCATCTGATCAACTTCCCTGTCTTGCCGACTGACCCGAGGGGGGCTCGTGGAATTGCGCCTCAAAGATTCCCAATCCGCGATCCGGCCCTGAACCGACGCGTCGCCTCTCTGAAGATCTTCTATTGGACGGGGCAGCCTTTTCAAACGATCTCCGCAGCGGCTCAGATCACCAGGCCTCGACCTGACTGCTGCATCGAACTGTTCACGAGACAAGAGTGGGCGATCCCACGCTCGCGCGCCCATACCCCTCACGCGGTTGGCTTGGACCCAAGCAAGTTCTCGCAGACGACGGTCCTCGTCCGCGGGTCCGACCGGCAAGGCCGCCTCTGAGGGGCCGAACGGGGGGGGCCCGGAGGAGCCGGGGGCTGGGCCTGAGTTTCTGGCGCGGAACCCTCCGGGTGGACCCCGTGCTGCAGGCTTGGACTGCTGGATCCCTCTATGCCAGGTCTGACCAGAACACGATCCTGGGCTGGGGTCTCGAACTCCTCTGAGATGCCTCGCACGCATCCGTCCGCATTCGACTGGACAAGATCGGAGCCTCTCCTCTTGAAGCTGGAGCTGGCTCCCCCGGCAGTGTCCGACCCGCTCTCCGACGTCTGATCCGAGGGAAGGCCCGTGCGAGAGGAGACCTCACGGGACATCGGCTGCTCTCCGAGAGGCGCAGATGAGGCACCAGACCGAGAGCGGGGGGGCGGAGACAGCTCGGGCAGAGGGACGTCGGCACCTAGCTCGCCCGCCGCTCGAGCGGGCGGAGAGAGCTGGCTCGAGTCGGGAGCCACCGGGGGGGGAGGAAGAGGGGCATGAACTGCCTCTCGATCCCCGCTGACTGGACCGTCCCGCTCTTCATCGGGAGGGGGCCCCTCGCGGGACACATCCACGCCGGTTCTCTGGGAACCGGACTGCACCTGGCTAACGAGGTCCTGGGGGGCCGTATCCTGGAGCATCTCGGCCCCTCGGGCCTCGGGGCTGGACGCGGGGCGGAGCTGTTCTGTCGCACATTTCCAGAGAAGGGATCTCATAGAGACCCACACGGAGTTCCCGCACTGGAAAACTACCAATCCAGGACCGCACCAGCGATCCCACTGCATGGCGAAGGTATTCTTCTGCTGTAAGGCCGGTGCTCGACGCCACACATATACCCAATCGCCTGGAGCATATTTTTGATCCCGGTGCTTGGGGGCTCTTGCCGCCGAGTGCACCTTCCCCCGGCAGCTGCCCTCGAAGAGCATGGTCCGCGCCCGCTTCCTGATGGCCATGGCTCTAGAGAAATCCGCCGCAGCGGCGTCCTGGCCCCAAACCCCTTCGGCCATATCATCTAGGCCCACTTGATTAAACGGATCGTCCGACAACAAATCCTGTGGAACTCTAGGGTTCCTTCCGAACACGAGTTGGTTCGGGGAGAACCCCCTCTGTGAAGATACGAACTCTTCGCGGCGGTTATCTCGCACACCAACAGCTCAAACTCACGCTCCGTGGACACCGGGGCCCCCTCGGAACCTCTGAGAGCCAGGTCCTTGACCCAACCCCCGTACCGCTCGCAGCGGCCGTTTTCCCACGGAGCTTCGGAAATGGTAAGATGCTGGAAGGTTCCTCTCTGCTCGGTACCACGGGAGAATTCGCCCTGAAATTCTGGACCACCGTCCGTGATCAGAAGTTCCGGGGGACCGAAATATCGCAGCCACGACGACACGAAACACTCCCAAGCTTCACGGGCACCCCCCTCGTATCGAGCCACGACCTGATAGTTCGCCCCGTGACAGATCATGTTCGATAAGGTAAGGAGTTGTCCTCCAAAGCTGAGGTGAAAGGAGTCAACAGCTACCACTCTGTTAAACTGGTACGCGCGAGGCATCGCAACATATCTCCGATGTGCAGGGCGGGGATGAGACTCACAGTCTGGGCAAGCAAACTCTCGCCGCACGCACTGCAAGACCTCGGGCTTCGCGTGAGCCCCTCGGAGTATCTGCAAAAAGATGGGACGAGCGGGGTGGCCTAGGTTCACATGCACCTTCTGAATCAAGTTACGCACCCTGGCGTCGATCTCGAGAGGTGGAGACGCGCGCTTGTCCTGACCCGTCCGGTCCTCGGGGCCCGGACCCGACTCGTCGCGTTCGGGTTCTTCATCCGCGAGGTCCCCGGGGTCAATCACCGACGGGTAGCAAGACCACAACACATCAGGAATCGGGAGTGGGCTCGGCTCGATCTGGCACGGGAGCTCCTTGCGAATCCAACCGACCACGTCCGAAGTTCTGGCCTGCCTGGCCCTCCGATCCAAGACCCCCTGGTGATCCTGGCCAGATGCTGCACCAAGCCGGGAGGGTAGACCTGAGCCTTCGAGGTGTGGGCAGACCCTTGCAAAACGTGATGGGGGCGGCCACCCTCACAGCGATGCCCTGAGAGAGAGGCTAGGAACTCCGAATCGTTACTGATGACTCGAGTTGGCTTCTTTGATAGTTCTCCGGCACTGTCCACGCATAGACCGAAACGGCACATGTCGAAAACGATCGATTGCGCCCCCGGTAAAGACAGAAGCTTCGCCATGTGCTAAGACTTCCAACTGGACGCCCCCTCGGGATGTTCCAGAACAAAGACCCCTCCGAGAGAGACCTGAAGCTCAGCCAGCTCGATGGCGAAACGGAGCAGAGCCGTGCCCTCGATCATGGCCTTGGCTCTCTTGGCTGGGTCCATCACATTTTTCGAAATCTCAAAGGCCACGCTGAAAACCCTGCAGGGAGGCTCCAAGAAAAGGACCCCGGCCTCCTGGACCGGACAAGGTCCCTCGCCAGACGTCGGTCCTCGGGACGCCGTAAATCCCAGCCCGTGGACAGATCCAAGCTTCCCTGATCCGCAACCCCCAACTGGCGAGCCGCTGGGCATATCCTGGGCGGAGAGAAAACCTCCATCATGCCCCGAGACAGACCCTCCTTCCTGCGACGATCCACTTCCCGACGAGAGAGGAGGGAGCAAAGGAGAGAGGACGAGTCCTGGGGCGGGGAAGAGGGTGTAGAGGGCGGACAAGCGCTCGACCCGGGACAGCGAGCACGGGTGGAGATTCCCTGAACTTCATCCCCGGGTGGTGTTTGCTGTCCAGGACGCTCTTGCTGTTCACCGCCACTCTTTCCTGACTCGGCCGCGAGAAGAGCACACACCGTTTTCTCTAGTTCTCGCCTCTGACGTCTCGGTATCGTCGTCTCGTAGACGTTAAACTCGGCATCCCGGATGGCGGGGGCCCAGCCGTCGTGACGGACAGCTAGATGGCACTCGCTCTCAACGGGAAAGGAACTCGGATAATCCTCCGAGCTGAAAAGCACCTGCATCGGGTCGTGCTGCTTATCGAAAAAACCATATGTGTCCCCTTCCCCGATGCTTATTCCACTCCTCCTCTGTGCACCTCGGGAAATAGAATAGCTCTGATGCCGGTGCCTCCAGCTGCGAAACGACGCGCTGGAGATAAAGGGATTCGCAGCCGACCTCACTCACGAATCGGCTCATACCACAACTCGTCCCTGATTCTACGTGAGGCTTGGTGAAGCTGCCGCTGCCGCCGCCGCCTCCGGGGACTGAGGTGAGGACTGGCCGATCACCTCCCACTTGTCGGTCTGGCGCGGGGTGCCCGGGACCGCCGTCGTGATCGCCGCCGCATGCTGCTGCTGGAGCTGAACCACGTGCGGCTGCAGGAGGAACTGCAGTGCCTGGCCGCGCTGCTGGAGGGACTCGTTCTGCTGCTGAATCGCGTCCTTCAGCTCCTTCATGTCCTTCGCGAAGCTGCTCTCGGACGTCCTGGGGCGGCTCTTCCGCTCTGCGTGGGCCAGCTCGCCCACCTGCATCGGCACATAGGAAGGTCTCGTCGCGGCACCCGAGCGCATCTGCCCTTTCACTGCCGCCGGACTCTTGGAGTGGTCGACCTTGACGAGTTTGCTCAAGAGCTCTTTCTTGTCGTCCTGGCCCTTGTTGTACCGCCGAATGTTCGGCACTGCGGGACCGCCCGACAATCCCGACCCCGGCTCCGTGCTGTAGCCCGGTTCGCCCTTGATCGTCAGGAGCTGCGGCTGCACCTCGATCTTCGGGCGGTTCCAGTAGGCCAGCCTCATGTCGCAGTCGACGCACTTGATCCAGGTCGCGCTGGCGTTGGCCCCGACACGGCGCCTCAGCGGGTTGTGGCGGCATTGCAGCATCTCGACTGTGAGGCGACGCTGTCTGCGAGCGAAGGCCACCGGCCAGAGGCGGCCCGCGCGACTCATGTCGAGGATCGACAGGCCGAGCGCCTCCTCCACCCTGAGGCTCTGTGAGACGATGTGAACCCAGCGGAGGTGCTCCAGCTGCATCTCCTCCGGTACGTCCCGAACAGTCAGCGCATAGCGCTGGTCTGTCATGCCGGTCGTGCGCGGTATCTTCCAGGAAACTCCGTGGAGAACTCTGAAGGGGATCACAAATCGAATCGGCATGGAGGCTTGAGCAAAACGAAACGGACCGGGACGCCTTGGAGGCGCAGTGGTTTTCCCGAACGTTTGACGCGTTAGAACGTTCCAGCGTGTCTTTCCGAGCTGCGTCCGGCCTCGAACCCCCAGGTGTTTTGTTGAGGGCCCCCTTTCTCCCCTCATGACCTGTTGTTTCGTAAGATACTGATGCTGGATAATCTGGAACATGTACGGTTTCATGCGATACAGATGCTGGATACTCTGGAATATGTGCTGGAATTGATGCGGAATACTCTGGACAGTCTGGGGCGTCGGCAGCATCGCGTCGAGTGGATTCGCGTCGATCGTGAGCTTGGCCCCCGGACCCTCGGCTCGGGCCCTGGACCCTCGATCTACCCTCGCCCAGCCCCCTCGACTGGCCGCCCATCGCTGTCGGACCGACGTCGTCGGCGCTATGGCACGCCGACATCTTGCACCGCGGCCCAGGCTGCCGCACGAAGTCCTGCTTCGAAACACCAGACTTGCTCGACACCGACTCTGGAACATGAAAATCGTCGGGCAAGCCGAGCTTGTCGATCCTGATCGTCCGATGCCCGGACGAAAGCCACTTCAAAGGCGTCGTTGTGTCCAAATTCTTAAACGTAGCCTTCTCTTCTGGAAGATCTTTGATGGCTCCAAGAGCCTCCTGCATGCCGATTGGCATCAAGGCTGGAACCTCCTCGCTGATCAAATCGAGCTGCATCGCACCGCGACGGCCCTCTATCCCCGTCGGGACGAGAAGGCCGGTCGAAACATTGGTGCGCCCACCGACTCCCTGGGCGTGCCGGTCGGCACTGGGCACCCTGGGAATCCGAAAACCGAGGGAGGCAAGCCGTTCGTCTAGCTTCGAAAGGGACGCCGGGCCTATGAAGCCCTGACCGGCTGCGGTATCTACTATAATCTCTCCCCTGGGAGTTGTCAGGAAAACGAGCGGGGATGGCTCAGGAGTCGAGGAGGCGAGAACGACTGACGACCGCGCCTTCTCGATCAGCGCTCCCAGCGGATCCTGCCCGAGCGCCGTCATCAGCACCAGACCAGACGAGGCGGTGCAGTCGTTCGTCCGCACGAAGAAGCCTGCCTTCGGAGCTGTCGCTGGTCTCGGCGGCGCTGCTATGTCTGAACCTGCTGCTGGTGGATTCGCACATTCCCTCGCCCAGTGACCTTTCTGATGACACTGGTGGCATTTCGTTACTTTCATCAGCTGTTGAGGCGAAAGCCTCTCCTTCCGAGGACGTCTCTGACCGTCCTGACCACGATGGCGAGGGGGTCGAGCACCACCCAGTGCCGGCCGGGGGCGGCGTGGGAAAGCACTTCCTGCCCACTTTCAGCCGCCTCTTGTAGTCTTTGTTTTCTTTCCACGACTTGCGTCTCTCAGAAGCCAGCTCTGCCAAAATGGTCGGAACGTCTAGCTCTGAGATGTCGGCCTGATCGATCGTCACTAGCACCGTCTGCTCCTGCTCTGAGCCCAGGGACGAGACGCTGCTGCTGCCGTCGTCTCGTCGTGGAACGTCGACTGGGAGCTCTGCTCGAACTCTGCAAAGGTCTTCTTGCCGTGCGTCAAGCTCTCGTTACGCTGCATGTCCATCTCCCGGATTGCCTTCAGCAGGTCCTGGTACTCTCCCGTGTTCTTGCTGAGGACCTTGAGCATCTGCTTCTGCGAGTCGTCGACTCCGACCCCTTCTTCGAGAAAAAAGTGCCGCCACTTGGAGTTCAGGTCCAGGCCCTGCGACGAGAGGCGATCAAAGACCTGGTCCATCCTCGCCGCGTAGATGCTCAATGACCCCCCCTGGCGGCGCTGGAACCCGAACAGGCACTCACGGCCCACGCGTCTCATCTCGTCGTCCTGGCGCTGGCCGCTGAGCACGTCCAGGCGATCTAGGATCGCCTGCGGTCCTGCATCGGAGACCACGGTGGTGTCCGATATGTCCTCGAACTTCTTTCTCAGCTCTATGTCCAGCACTTTCAGGATCCTGTCTGCTCGGCGGCTGACTGCAACCCCTGCGCCCGCCAGCCAGCGCCGGACTCCTCGGCGCCAGAGGCGGTGCTCGCTCCAACCCAACCAGGGATCTGGATCTCCGAGATCGGGCTTCTCCCACCACGAGGACGAGGGCCACGCCGTGCTGTCCTCGTGGCCACCGCTGCTGCTGCGCCAGTCCACGGCGCTCCACTTCTGGGCGTCGGCGGTCCAGCCGCCGTTGCCCGACCACTTGGCCTGGCTCAAGTCCGCACCGGTCCGCGAATCCCACTGTGCATCGGCTGAGGCTGACCACCAACCTCTGCCACCCCACCTCACATTATCATTCTCGCCGGTGCCTCGCTTGCGACCGTCCTGCCACGGGTCACTGCCTAGGTCCTCCCACGGGTCGGACCCAGATGCTCCTTCACGGGCCTGATGAGCCGCACCTTCCGACGCTTGGCCCGGGGAGCTCGAGGCGGTGATCACTGCCATTATCTCCTCACGCAGGATGCTTCTCAGCTCGAGCGCCTGCGCTTCTGTGAAACTGCTGCTGCCTGTCGCGCCCTGGGGCGCACCACTCTGTTCCTCTTGGTCTTTGTCTCCGCTGCCTGCCGGAGGGACATCCTTATCTCGTTCGCAACTGAGAGGATCCGCCGGCATGGCGGCGGCAACTGGAGACGGCCGGGGAGAACCGTGCCGCTCCGCTACCACTGACGCGTCAAAGACGGTCAGTGGAGAAAACGAGGTATATCTTTTCTCACAAGAAACATGGTGTCGAAAGGTGCCTGGGTCAAAACAGCAGCGGATGTGCACACACGTGCGCGCACACAAATGTGTAACAAGTAATCATGCATGCAACATAAGAGATGATTAAGCTCAAACTGGTCATATTTCCACAGAAGGAGGCCGGCCCGCCGGCCGACGCACGCGCGCGGCCGCAGGCTCGCTCCCTTTCTGTTTCCCTAGAGCCAAACAGCTGTAAAGTAACAGATCAGTCAAGCAGTGCAGCAAAATGAAGAGAGCAAGAGGGGCAGTAGGATGGTGGTGCGGAAGGAGTGCATTGAATTCATACACATACACATACGCCTACATACAGACGCACATACAAGCATACACTGACATACATACATACATACATGCATGCATGCATGCATGCATACATACATACATAGAAATATGTACATATAAATACATACATACATACATACATACATACATACATACATACATACATACATACATGCATACATACATACATACATACATACATACGTACCTGCATACATACATACACACATATATGCATACATACATTCATACATACATACATGCATGCATCCATACATGCACACAAACATACACTAGACATGCATTATGTACATGCCTGTATGATTGCATGCATATTACATACATGCGTACTACAAACATCGGTGCATACATGCATGCAAACAAACATATGTGCATACATGCATGCATAAATATCCGAATGTACATGCATACATGCATGCATACATGCAGATATGCATCGAATCATACATGCATGAACAAATACATACATGCATGCATGCGTACGTACATGCATACATGCATACATACACGTATGCACACAAGCATGCAAACCTACACATATAAACATGCATGCATGCATGCATATATGCATGCATCATACATACATGCATGCATACACATACATAAACGCATACATATATACATGCATGCATACGGACGTATGTACGCACCTAAATACATACACATACCTACATACATGCGTACATGCATGCATATATACATACTTCAATACTTCCATGCACACGTACATACATGCATGCATGCATACGTACAGACATACAAAAGTACATACACGCATACATGCATGTTTGCATACATGCATGCAAGCATACATGCATACATACATAGATGCATCCATGAATCCATCAATCTATCCATCCATCAACACATACACAAATACATACATGCAGGCATACCTAGATGAAACAATTTGAAAATGATAAAAAAAGTGAGTTGCACGCGCCTAACCTTGCAAGCAGGGATTCGAATGGCGTGCGCGCACATCCCCCGTGCCAAAACCAAAGTCCACTGAGCCTCCTGCTACGGACCTTGAGCCAAACTGGCTACGCACCTGGCAACGGAAGAGGGAGAGGGAGGGGGAGGGGGAGGAAGGCGGGTTGGAGCTTCAGGAAGGAATCCAGCTTGAGTCTCAACTCGCATCTTCTGGTCGTCCGTTCCACTCCATTCCACCACTCCTTGTTCCTCCAGTGTGGAAAGCTATACTGGACACCGGAGGCAAGACGAGCACAAGAGGCACAGTACACATCCCATGGGGGCAGGGGCGAGCAGCCACGTGCTGCAGCGCCCGCGCCACTGACTTCGACACCGTGGCATTCACCCCGCTCGCTTCCCACTCGCTACCGTGCAGCCTGGCATCTGCTGTCCGGGCATCTGCTGGGCCATGGCGTTGTACGCGACCTGCTGATGCGTGCCACCTGTGCATGCTCATCGGCGGGAGCATCTATGCAAGGGTTAGCTGACGTTAGCTGCTGACTGTCTGAGACGACCTCTTGTTCCCTCCAGGGCGTTAACAGGAGTCAGAACGGCAGGAGATGTCGGGCTGGGATGAGGACGCGAGAACTCGGACTCAGCAGCAGTGTCAGGTTTTTGGAAAAGTGTGCCCGTGCCCGTTAGGCAGAGCGCGTAAGGCCGTAGCCACGTGCGGGGGAAACGGTCGAAGATCTTGCGGCCACTTAGCGGGTCCGTCAGTACCTATGCCGAAAGCGGTGTGCCCGAGCATCTAAGCAGGAATCGGCCTTCCCCTTGGGCAGTGGCGTGGAAGATGTCTATCTGTTCCTCCCCAGACCCCTCACTGCGGAGGTCGATTCTGCCAGTTCTTAAAAAAAGAGAGGGCGGCTTGGTCGAGGAGTGTGACAACTCATCTTGGATACGACCGTGGATGGAAAATCCACGCGATGCCAGTGAATCGACGTCGCGATTTTGCCATTGAAAGAGATGGAGCGCCGCCCGTGGCCGCCCCGTGCGCTGGGCGGGTCCACCGAGGTTTCCCCACGCTGCCGCCCGTGGCCGCCTCGTGGCCGCCTCGTGCGCTGCTGGGTGGATCTGGCGAGGACGGTCCACGTTGCCGCCCGTGGCCGTCTCGTGGCCGCTTCGTGCGCTGGGTGGGTCCAGCGAGATTTCGCCACGTTGCCGCCAGTGGCCGCCTCGTGGCCCTTCCGTGCGCTGAATGGGTCCGGCGAGGTATCGCCATGTTGCCGCCCGTAGCCGCCTCGTGACCTCCTCGTGCGCTGGGTACGTCCAGCGAGATTTCGCCACGTTGCCGTCACTGGCCGCCTCGTGCCCGCCTCGTGCGCTGTGTGGGTGCAGCGAGGTTTCGCCACGCGATGAGTGGGTGCTTCGTGAGCGCCTCGTGCGCAAAGTGGGTCCAGCGAGGTTTTACCACATTGACGCCGGTGGCCGCCATGCGGGCGCAGCATGCGCACACCACATAGCTCAAACCACAAAAAATCCGGTTTCAAAATCTACCACCACCCCCTCCCAAGGGTTAACGGGCCGCCTGGGACCCTACAATGAAGATATGACTCTGCAAAACCGTTCACTTTCCACATGAACCCGTACCATCCCAAGCCAAGCGGTAGTGGCATCTTCCCTTTATCCCTGTCAAATGATGCCATGCGCGCACACTCCTTTATCAAAACAAATCATGTTTCAAAAGCCCTTTCCAAACGCTGCTCAAAGTCACACGCGTACGCACCTGTCGAGAGCAAGCATGTCAATATCAAAACATCAAAACCCGTGGTCCTCCATCACAAACCGTGCAGATCTTCTGCCTGGGCGCCTTTGCTGAAATCATACGAAAACCATGTAAATCGCGCAATCTCGCCCGAAACCCGCATCCTCATCTCACCACGCAATGCATCTTCGTTGATCAAGCATGGGCCCGATAAACAAATCCGTATCCAAGAATACCCTCCAGGCCAGAGACGCACGCGCCGCCACGCGCACGTGTCGAAATCCGTCTGGCGCCAATGGTTTTTCGAGCATAACCAATAAAAGCTTTTCAGGAACATGTGGCAAACCAAGCGTTTCGACAGAAAGTCTGCCAATTGTCTGGCATGTCCACACCCGCGTGCATCTCCTCATCATCATCATCACCGCCACCGCATCACCGCCTTTATCGTCATCGTCAATCGCCGCAGTTGCCGCCGTCATCACTCAAGCATCTTCGCCACCGAATGAGCACATCATCCATTGTCATGGTCGTCACAAGCATCAGCATCGTCATTGGCGTTGCCGTCGTCACCGCCATCATCGCCACCAGCGTCGCGAATTACTATCACCACCGTTGTGACCGTTGCCAACGTCATCATGGTAACGCGCCCACCCGAGTTAGCAACACGCACTCAGGTGCCCGCGCGATTTGAGAGTCCTCGTCGTCCTCCCTCCTCCCTCGTCGTTGTCGTCGTTGTCGTCGTTGTCGCCGTCGTCGTCCTCCCTCCTCCCTCATCGTCGTCTTCGTTGGCGACATCGCCGTCGTCTTCGTCGTCGTCGTCGGCGTCGGCGTCGTCGTCGTCTTCGTCGTCGTCGACGTCGGCGTCGTCGTCGTCGCCGCCGTCGTCGTCGTCGTCGTCGTCGTCGGCGTCGTTGACGTCGTCGTCGTCGTCGGTGTCGTCGTTGTCGTCGTCGTCGGCGTCGTCATCGTCGTCGTCGTTGTCATCGTCGTCGTCGTCGGCGTCGGCATCGTCGCGTCGTCGTCGGTGTCGTCGTCGTCGTCGTCGTTGTCGGCGTCGTCGAAGTCGTTGGAGACGTCGTCGGTGTCGTCGTAGTCGTTGTCGGCGGCGTCGTCGTCGTCGTTGTCGCTGTCGTCGTCGGCGTCGCTGTCGTTGCCAAGTGCCATTTGGTACCCACCGTCACGGCCTTCAGAAATTTTGCAAACCAAATTGCGGGTGGGTGGGTGGGATGTTTGCGCGAGCAGTGGAGTGGACAACTCACTGCGAACAGAAATTAATTCTCCTTTCTAAAAGATTAATAGATTCTACCCCCCTCCCCCCCCTGGACTTATCGGCTCCCCCTGGGATAATATGATTTCATATATATATATATATATATATATATTCTGCACACTCGTCCATCCTAAATATGAAATCATACCATCCCAACCAAACTGGGTTCCCCCCCTGAGGTTCCCTTGTAAAAAACACTATGCGGCGACATTTTTTGCTCTAACATAAGACTTTTTCGCAAATCCCTTGCAAAAAATAGGACGAAGTGCACACGCGCGCGTCGTCGCGCGCGCATGCCGAAATCCTTCAAAAACCTTCGGTTCCGGAGAGATTTCAAAATTGAATTTCCAAAAAAACATACAAAAACACAGGGTTTCGCAACACTGATTTGCGCGATCTCTTGCGAAATCTTAAGAAAACCATCGGTTTTTCAAGATTTGCACAAAATGCTACCAAACGGGCTTCGCGCGCGCATGTCGAAATCTGTCGAACGCCCTTCCGCGTGTGCCGTCGCGAGAATCCTCTGCAAAAAATGGGACGAAGTGCAGACGCGCGCGAAGTCCCGCGCGTATGCCGAAATCATTCAAAAACCTTCGGTTTCGGAAGGATTCCAAAATCGTGTGTCCAAAAAACCTAGAAACACACACAAGGTTTCGCAACACGGGTTTTCAACAAAAGCGTGCGCGCGCGCTCTTGCGTCGTCGTCGTCGTCGTCCTCTTCCCTCCTCCCTCGTCGTCGTCGTCGCCGTCGTCGTCTTCTGTCTTTCCTCGTCGTCGTCTTGGCGTCGTCGTCGCTTCCGTCGTCGTTGTCGCCGTGGTCGTCCTTCCTCCCTCGTCGTCTTCGTCGGCGTCTCGTCGTCGTCCCTCCTATTTCGTCGCCGTGGTCGTCGTCGTCGTCGTCGTGGTCTTCACTCCTCCCTCGTCGTTATCCTCCTCCCTCGTCGTCGTCGTCCGTCGTCGGCGTCTCGTCGTCGTCCCTCCTATTTCGTCGCCGTCGTCGTCGTCTTCGTCGTCGTTGTCGTCGTCGTCGTCTTCCCTCCTCCCTCGTCGTTGTCGTCGCCGGCGTCGCCGTCCTTCCTCCTTCTTCGTCGTTCGCGTCGTCGTCGTCTCCCCTCCTCCATCGTCGTTGTCGTCGTTGTCGCCGTCGTCGTTTTTTCTCCTCCCTCGTCGTCGTCTCCGTTGGCGACGTCGTCGTCGTCTTCGTCGTCGTCGTCGGCGTCGGCGTCGTCGTCGTCTTCGTCGACGTCGACGTCGGCGGTGTCGTCGTAGTCGGTGTCTGCGGCGCCGTCGTCGTCGTTGTCACTGTCGTCGTCGGCGTCGGTGTCGTGGCCAAGTGCCATGTGGTACCTACCGTCACGGTCTTGTCTTAAGAAGTCTTGCGACCAAGTTGCGGGTGGGAGGGTGGGATGTTTGCACGAGCAGTAGAGAGGACAGCTTCAAGACGGTCAAAGTGAGTTGCACCACATAGATTGCACCCCGTAGCTCGTAACACATGGAGTGCACCAGATAACTTACACCGCTTCGCTGACACGTCAAGGCTCTCACCACAGGTATTCTGCGACCACAAAAAAAACTACCACCACCACCACCACCACCTGTGATAATCGCCCCATCCACGCCCCTGGGCCACTGCAAATCAAATATGAGTATGCCTCGCCGCTCACTTGGCAAATGAATTCATACCATCCCATGCAGTCTCATTGTCGATCCGACCCCCCTTATCCCATTCAAATAAAACGATGCGCGTACTCTCGGTTATCGGAAAGGATATGTTGTGCATGGATCCCCTGAACAAGTGTGACAGAGTCCACACGCGCGCGCACATGCTGACATAAACGCCAACATAAACTTTGTTTCTACAGCCCCGCCCGCGGACCTGGTCCCGGTCCAGGCCCTGGCCCCGGCGGTGGCCCCGGCACGGGTCCTGGCCCCCGCCCTGGCCCCGGCCCTGGCACCAGCCCCTGGCCCCAGCCACAGCCCCGACCCCAGGCCTGGCCCCAGGCCTGGCCCCAGCCCTGGCCCCAGCCTCGGCCCCAGCCTCGGCCCCAGCCTCTGCCCCGACCCGAGCCCGAGCCTCTGCTCCAGCCCTGGCCCGCCCAAGGAGACGGACGGCTCTCCTCCTCCTCCTCCTCCTCCTCCTCCTCCTCCTCCTCCTCCTCCTCCTCCTCCTCCTCCTCCTCCTCCCCTCCCCCCTCCTCCCCCTCTTCCCCTCCTCCTCCCCTCTCTCCTCCTCCTCCTCCTCCTTTCTTCCCCTCCTCCTCCTCATCATCATCATCTTCATCATCATCCTCCGCCTCCTCCTCCTACTCCTCTTCCTCCTCCTCCTCCTCCTCCTCCTCCTCCTCCTCCTCCTCCCTCCTCCTCCTCTCCTCCTCCTCCTCCTATTCGTGTTCCTCTTCCTCCTCCTCCTCCTCCTCCTCCTCCTCCTCCTCCTCCGCGCTTTAGACTACGTCGCGATCTGGATGCTGGAA